AGGGGGAAAAGAAAAGAAAAAAAAAAAAAAGAAAAAAATAATAAAGAAAGAGAAAAGAAAAGAAAAAGAAAATTTCGTCGAATATCGATTAGAAAGGAGACAGACCATCATTTATTTTTTCTTTCTTCTTCCGTCGAAAGAATTACAATTTTTCTTTGGCGCCTCGATAACGATATTCTGGGGTACGAGAATGTCTTGCCATGGTATCTCGAGGTCGTCGGGCACGCATGAATCTTTTTTGTCCGTAGGTGGGACACGGATATTGACCGGTTTGTCCAATGCAAGATCTTCCCATGGTATTTCAACGCTCGAATCGCAACATACTGGAACGATATCTCTCGACGGTGAAATAACGTTGGTGATCAATAATTTGTGCCAGGGTAATGTCATAAACCCGTTCGATTCCTTTTTCTCCGATTCGTCGAAATCGATCTCGACGGGAATCTCATCTTCCTTTTCATGATCGACCGAGGAGACATCAGTCGTACGAATTTTTCTTACCACAGTCGGTAATGCAATGTCCTTCCATGGTAACTCGATCTTCGAGTCGCAAAGGATCGAAACATCCGAGAATTCTTTTTGAAGACGTTGCATATAAGGTTCATGCCATATCTCATCGTCCGGATTTACGTTGAATACCAACGTTTGCCTTTTTCTCTTACAACGATCGCGCTGTTTCTTCTTATATTGAGGGATCTTATTTTTCCAACATTCGCAACCAAATTTTTTCACCCTTGTCACCGTACCTTTATCCATTTTATTTTCATTCGTAATTTTACGTCGTCGCCATTTTCTTCAACAAAACGTCAGCCCTTTTCTCTTTTGATTTTCTTTACCTTTTGTATGATATATATATATATATATGTATATATATACATATACGTATATATCGTATATTAAAATGAAAATGTCTTCCGTTCGATCATAACCTTACCTTTAATGTTATCTCCTTCAAACGACGTTACGTCTCGTTTGTTTCCAAGGAACATCGTACGTTCGATGTGAACGCAGCTGGATAATATAATTCTCATTGTTGGTTTATTTTTTCACTCACACTCTCTCTCTTTCTCTCTCTCTCTCTTTCTTTCTCTCTCTCTCTCTTTCTTTCTCTCTCTCTCTCTCTCTCTCTTTCTCTCTCTCTCTCTCTCTCTTTCTCTTGCTATTTTTTTCACCTTCTCTATCTATGATATCTATCTATATTTTACGAGACGCAATGTCGTATTTCAATAGGAACTGAAAAGGGTATAAGACGTATGTGTATTTATGTACATATATAAATTTTTATGATTCGGCCTGTGTTACTTGCTCGCCGAGTGTGAATCGATCTTAATGCGTGATTCACGCTCAAAGGGTAATGACGATGACGCGCTTTGGGGAAAGCACGAATGCCGTCGGTGCGGATCGAGACACACGGAATGGTATATACATACGTACGTCGTCTCGTATAAGAGAAAGAAAAAGAGATAGAAATAGAGAATGAGAATGAGAAAGAGGCGCTTGCGTCAGGGTCGGCTGAAGCTTCCTGACGAGATGGAAGAGGAGGAGGACAAAATGGCGAACGAGGACGATGAATAGAACGACGAGGTGGTGGAGTAGGAGTAGGAGTAGGAGGTAGAGGAGGAGGAGGAGGAGGAATAGAAGGAGAACGACGATGAGGTGATGGTAGAGGAGGAAGAGGATGAGGCTGTGAAGAAGGAGGGTAGGAAGAGGAGGTTGAGGAGGAAGAGGAGGATTCGTTGCGAGTGTGCGAGAGTATCGACGCCATCTATCGGCGGATGCTCGTATAACGCGAAAAATTCTACTAGTTGCCGATAAAAGGAAATCCGTGGTGTGCTTCGGACTCGATTTCAAAATTAAACGCTCGACGACCATGCACAAAATCTCTCGTCGATCGAGATAACCGTTATGTAAATTCATTCGGACGTTGGGTATTCCGGAATCAGTCAGCTGAAGGAAGTTTCGAGAGGTGTCGGGCCGAGATATCGCACGGAAAGGATCGCGAAGCTCTGACTGATTAACGTAGTAAGACTACGTTTAGAAGGCAGCCATCTTGCAATCCCTAATCAAAGATCTTCGGCTAGCGGGTATCGTTCTCTCTCTGGTTTTTTCGGCCAGTTAATATCAACACACAGTTCATCAAATGGCTTTAAAACGAATTAATAAGGTACGTGAACGAATACGCGATAGGAGTTAACGCGTTTCCTATTATCGTAGCATCGGTGTGGTGTGTGTCGAACACGGTTGAACGCCCTTAACGATTTTGCAGTGAAGCAATGTGAGCCACAAGCATTGAAAAATTTTTCTTGGCTTTTATCGTCCTGTTCTTTTTCTTTTTTCTGTTTTTTGTTCCCCTCTTTCTCTTTTCTGTTCCTTTCTATTTCTACGACTAAGTGCAACTCGAGCGAGCATGATTTTTATATGGGTTTTTATATCGATGGGAACTAGTCGCGCACGCGGCACAGTGCCACTTTTTGTGCCAGTGGACTTGACTGGAGGTGACAGTGAATTTCGAAAAATTCTCGGTGGCTTTCTGATAAATTGCCGGAAGTAACGTAAAACCGTGTGTTACTTGCATTTATGTATATATATACACGTCTATATATATATATACATATATACGTGTATACATGTATATAATATATAAATGTACATGCATATATACATATCTATATATATATATATATATATATATATATATACATCTACATATATATATACTTATACACATATATGTATATATATATATATGCGTACACAAATGTAGCTATAGATATTTACATTTATTGCTGAAGTATCATTAATGCCTTTGTGGACATCTTGTGTTTCAAGATTTTAGCTTTCTCAAGTTTTTATCTTTAATACTCTGTTTTCTTCCCTAGAGAAGCAGTCCAATCTTTATGATATAACATTGGAATGGAGCATTCTTCTCTGTTCAATCTTTATGATATATTATTGGAATGGAACATTCTTCTCTGCCTAATTGTTTTGTATGCACCGCATTGTCACAATGAAACTTGCTATTGATATCAATATCGAAGTTTCAAATAACTATGATAACAATGAATAGAATCATATCGAAGAGCTCATAGTCATACTCAAATCTTTCTACTCATCGTTGCTATCTATGTGTTCCATAAAACAATATCAATTTGGTCTCTATCATTTAAAAGTTATTCCTATTTCTAAGTTTTAATTGATCCTTTTATACTGATATAAAACTTTGACATTGAAACATTACAAGTTTTCTTTAGTTAAAAAACTTTATAGTAGATAATAGAAGTTCAATGATAATCAAACAATGCATCATATGCAAGATTTTTCTAGCATATCCTTTGCCTGCAATATTATATGAACAAAATATTCTAGAATATCTGACCTAATACTAATATGTATATTGGAGTTACAATGAATAAAAATAATGATTTAATGTTGAATAGATGGCAGGTCTAACATTAAATAAGTAAAAGAAAAAAAAGAGTAATGCTCTAAAAATAAAGCATCTTATATAGATATATGAGGTATCATACATCATAAGGTTTTATTGACCATCGATAAAATATTAAATTCATTTTCATGATAGAATTTGAAAACAATTATATTTGATAGATTCTCATTTATATAATTTTTATTGGATTTTAGGAACTTCAGGACCTTGGAAGAGATCCACCCGCGCAATGTTCTGCAGGCCCTGTTGGAGATGATCGTAAGTTTTTATATCTTAATATTGTTGAGTCATCATCATGATTTGCGTTTATATCATGAAAGTATTATTAGGTTAGATTACGTTCTCATTACATCTTTAACATTTTATAATGTTAAAATAATGTGGATACTTATTGTAGTATGATACAATAGCTATAGATATTTATAATATATCCGCTTGTTTTAGTATTCCACTGGCAGGCAACTATTATGGGACCAGTAAGTGTTATATTTTATTTACATTTTTTACCTATATTAATTATACATTTCTTTTCTTATTAATATTGTTATTTATTTTATAAAATATCCATAAGCTCATTTTTTTTTCTCAAAGTAAATATACCATTTATAAAAATGAAATCATTTCGTTAGAATAGTCAAAGATTCATAATATTTTACAGCCTGACAGTCCGTATCAAGGAGGCGTATTTTTCCTAACAATTCACTTTCCCACAGACTACCCATTTAAACCACCTAAGGTACGTAGATCATATCTCAAAAGTATATTTTTCATTTTTATCCATGATAATACTTAAAGTGAAAGTAATTATAATGGATGGATTATTATAGGTTGCTTTCACGACTAGAATCTATCATCCTAATATCAACAGTAACGGAAGTATTTGTTTGGACATATTAAGATCGCAATGGTCACCAGCACTTACTATATCAAAGGGTACGTATTATTTAATTTCTTTTTAGTCGATATCACCTAATATAATTAAACTTTTTTTTTCAAAGCAGCATAATCGGTAATAAAATAGTTTTACATTTTAAAATACCACTTTGTACGGTCAACTTTTTATTAACGAGTTGGATCAGTAAAATGTACTTTTCCCAATTTCCCTGACGCAACCCCCACCAATTCCTCCCTCCCCACCCTCCCTCTCTCCCGCCACGAGGATTTACATAAATGGAAATAATGAGGTTGTAAACCCTTGCTGCTGATTTCAGTGTTACTCTCAATATGTTCTTTGCTCTGCGATCCAAATCCAGACGATCCATTAGTACCAGAGATAGCAAGGATATACAAAACTGACAGGGAGAAATACAATGAATTGGCACGCGAATGGACGCGCAAGTATGCCATGTGATGCGCCAATCTCCGTTGACCTCAACATCCGAACGCCACCAACAAGCAGCCCCAGCCTATTGCCACTTATGCATCAGCACAGATTGAAATTAGTTATGGCTCGTCTACTTTTAAACTTAAGCCGCGACTCAGGCCCGAAGAATCCTCTCAGGCAAGCGTCGACGAACTGTGGAGTTTCCCTTCGCCCTGGGTGGCCCGCGAATACTAAGACGTTGCCACGATGGCAATCAAGGCAATTTTAAAGGTGGTCACATACACACACATACACATACACACACACATACACACACACATACACATACAAACATACACTCATTCACTCTCTTTCACACACATTGCGCGCGCGCACGCACATACACACATACACAAACACACATACACATACACACACGCACACGTACACGCGAACACACAACATTATATACATAATTCAGATTACAAAAAAAGGAAAAAAGGGAAAAAAATGACAAAAAAAATTTACCAACAAACATGTCCGCTTTGATTTTCATAAATAAAAAAAAGGAAAAAAAGAACATATGGAAGTAAAAGAAAAAAAAAATAACATAGGAGAGTGAAAGTAGGATTTGTATTTCAATTGAATAGTTTAATTTTTAATTATATTGTGCTTATATATGGATAACTGTAATATTATATACCTACTTTCTCAGTGAAATGGAAATGGAAAAAAAAAATATACAAACAAACAAACCTTCGAACTGACAGCACACCGATTGTTAGTTTAAAAAAACGCAAGTGAGCAATGTTTGCCCGTCCCCTGGAATGATACGGTCACTTTTTTGTAAGACTGGGCTATATATAAATACTAATGAAACTATACCCATACGTTTTGTTCAATTATTAAAATTCCTTACCTCGTCTGACAAATTCTACGAGTAACTTATAATAATTATATTAAATTATAACATCGGCATTTACTTTTGTTCCTGTTATTGCGCGTAGGTATAGTTTTATCGTCGGTAAAATATTTTATCGTTGAAAATATTTGAAAGAGGAAATTAATTAAGGATTGTTCTTTTTTTTTTTTTTTTTTTTTTTAGTAAATTAACAATTTCAAATTTTAATTTAAAATTGGTGATGAGTAAATTTTTTTTCTTCATTTTTTTTTTTTTTTTTTTTTTTTTTTCTTATTTTCCACCATAAAGTCGATGAAAAATTTGATTTTTATTTTTACAAATAATTTGTAATCCTTTTTTTACTTTGGTAATATCAAAATTTGTGGTACTAACGAGATTTAGTAATTTCATTTTGAAATAATTATACCGGGCTGTTTGGCTTGAATAATTAAAGGATATGGATGAATAAGTGAAGAAGTAAATAATTAAATAAATAATTAAGAAAATGAATGAATAAATAAATACAAATAAAAATAAAGATTAACATAAAAGTTTTGGAAATTGTAGTCATCGATGTTGTTCGTTGATAAACGATAAGTAAAAAAAAAAAAAAAGATCGGTCCGAGTTCTGTCCGTTTGAAGTTTCCTTATGAAAATCACCTTTAAGAAAAGTAGATTATATAAATATTTCAGTAAAAAGGAACGACAGAGAGAGAGAGAGAGAGAGAGAGAGAGAGAGAGAGAGAGGGTGAGAGGGTGAGAGAGAGAGAGAGAGAGAGAGAGAAAGGAAAATGCGATTGTCAGAGAAATGTAAATGAGGGAAGAATTTCCTCTAGTAAAAGAAAGAATTTTTGTCGTTCGTAGTATTATTTACAATATACATATATATATGTGTATATAATACAAACATATATATATATCTATATATCTGCGAAATCATGAATTTGCCGGCCGTTGATATGCAACGTCGTTATACTCATGTTAATATATTATTATTATTATTATTATTATTATTATTATTATTATTATTATTATTATTATTATTATTATTATTATTATTATTATTATTATTATTATTATTATTATTATATTATTATTATACTTATTAATTTTGCGTGCGAGTTTTTTCCCCCCCCCGTTTTGTGCGGCAATTTTGCTAATTATTACTTCTAATCTCTAATCTTCTTTAATCCACAATAACGTTATATGTATTATGAGATTATAATCAATGAGACTAATTTAGGAGGATCAAAAAGTCATCGTAAATCATTTAATAAGAAAATTTATCACCCATTATAAATATTATTGTGGTCAAGAAGCTGAGATCGGAGTATTAACATTTTCAAACTTAACTTGTATTACTTGCGAAACTGCATAGATGCGTTAAATTGCGGTGCGGTAGTACGACGTACATACATACATACACACGTGCATACATTACATACGTTTAGTATACGTTAAATACGAAGGATACGAGTGCACCACTTTCTTTAAATATATATATGTATATATGCACACACACACACACACACACACACACACACACACACATATATATATATATATATATATATATATACATATATATATACATACATATATAAATATTTTTTTTTCTAAGCGATGTTAAACAGCGTTTCAGCTTCTAAATAAGCTTTTCGCCCTAATTCCAAAGCGAGGATTTTGGAGTCAAAGGATGATATCACGTGTTTAGAAGATAAGAGAAACAAACAAACAAACGAACAAACAAACAAACAAACAAACAAACAAAAAAACAGAAAAGAAATCTCTTTAGGTGTATGTCCCTTTACCCTTTACTTTCTCTCACGATGCGATCTGTTTAAGAAAAAAAAAGAGACAAAAAACAAAAAAAAAAAAAACAAAAATTAAAACAAAAAAAAATGAGAATAAGAAAAAAAGAATTAATAACGATAAATTTTCATTGGTATAGTAAATTGGTCGAAATCGAAATGGCGAGAAAAATAAAAAGAATAAGAGAAATGGCATCTTTTGTAAAAGCGCCCGGTCGGATCATTTCGAACGATATATTATCAATTAATTAATGAAAATGTATTGACTTCTTTTTTTCTTTAATTTATTTACAATGTAAGAACGAACGAATGATGATGATAATAGTAATAATGACGATGACGATGACGGTAACGACGGTAAGAATAGTCTGTGAAGAAGGGAAATGATAAAAGGAGTACGGTGAACAAAAAAAGAAAAAAAAAAAAGGCAAACAAAAAAAAACAACAAAAAAAAGAAAAGAGATAAATCCAACTGCCCGACAAATTTTCACAAGATCTCCTTCTCCTCCTCTTTTTCCTCCTCCTCCTCCTTTTCCTCCTCCTCCGTCCTTCGCTCTTCTCCCTCCCTCCCTCCCGCCTCGATCCCTCTCTCCCTTTATTCTTCCGATTAATCTATCGTTATCGTTCAAGCGTCTATTAGGAAGCAAAGAGAGAAAGGATAGAAAAAAAGAATAAGAAAAAAAGAGGATCAAAAAAAAAAGAGAAAAAAGGAAAATTATTCGTGCGTAATTAATTAATAATAATTGATGTCTTAAGCAAACAACAACAACAACAACAACAACAATAATAATAATAATAATAACAAACAAAAAATAAGGGGAGAAAGAAATAACAGAAGTAAAAGCAACACGACGAACATTTTGAATAACTTATCTTGTGTACATTTTAGCATTATTAGCCCTTTATATAAATAAAGTCCACATCTGATGATATGACTCTGAAGGCTTTATGTGAATTTACCTGAGAATAAATAATAAATAAAAGGATAAGGAAACAGAGATAAAGAAAACAATGATGAGAATGAAAAAAGTAAAGGGGGAAAAGAAAAACAAAAAAAAAAAAAATAAAAATAAAAATAATGATAAATAAGTAAATAAATGGTAATGTTAAAGTAGGATCTATAGATCGTTCGATGCGGGAAAGCGGTGCGCGGCCCGCTTTCACGATCTCGGAAAGATCGAAATTTCTCTCTCTCTCTCTCTCTCTCTCTTTCTCTCTTTCTATATATATATATATCTCTTTCTTTCTATATGTGTTTCTTTATCTCTCCTTCTTTATTTGTTTCCTTCTCTGTCTCTGTTTCTTTCTCATTTTCTCGGGATATGAGAGGTGTAGTGCGGTGAAAGTGGACGACGCATAGGACGGGGCAAAACAAACGTGTCTTTCTTTACGAGAGGATTACACATTTGAAATATTAGAAAAGAGAATGGTATGAAATATTATTGATCGATAAGAAAGTAAGAAAGAAGGAACAAAAAGAAAAAGAAAAAAAAAAAAAAAAGAATTGAAAAAAAAGGAAAGATTTGCGAAAGTGATGAAGCGTGAAATAAAATGAGGAACGTTAATTTTTGTTTTTCGACTTGATAATAATAATAATGATGATGATGATGATGATGATGATGATGATCATAATAATGATACATACATACATAAGTGATATGTACTGTATAACATACAATTATCAATTAACGAAGAACATTCGTGACGTATTAAATCGATGCCGATAATATTACACACGAATTTATAAATCTCTCATTAAATTTCTTGATTATTTGATATATTGAAAAAAAGAAACGAAAAAAAATTTGGAATTTTCTATAAAGTGAAGAAAGAAAAAAAATCTTTTTCTCGTTTCGAAACAGATAACCGATAAAATTTATATTTAATATTCTATACACATAGAATATTATATATATATATATATATATATATATATATATATATATAACAAATAATATGATTATGTATATAACGTACAATCAATTATAATAGATCATAATTATAACAAATAATCAATTAATAATATGACGTAATAACAAATATATTTTTCTCGATTATCTGCTTTTATAATGCAAACGTAATATTATACGTGAGCAAAGGTAAAAGATTTTTGTTTCACTTATCCAAAGAAAAAAAAAAAAAAAAAATAAAAAATTAGAAAGATCTTTCATTATCACGCTTATGTTATCTCGCGTACACGCATATGTGCATGCAACATTTACGTGTACACGTATACGTGCGTGAGAATTGAGTAAACAAATTTTTTTTTCTTTTTTTTTTCTTTTTTTTTTTCTTTTTTTTTAATTAAACAGAAATAAATTAGAAAAAAAAAGGAGAATGAAAGAAGAAGAAGAAGAAGAAAAAAAAGAAATAAAATAAAGTAAAAGAAAAAAAGAAAAACGAAAGAAAAAGAAATAAGAAAATGTTTCGAATGTTTTTGTGATCAGAGAAAGAGAGAGAGAGAGAGAGAGAGAGAGAGAGAGAGAGAGAGAGAGAGAGAGAGAGAGAGAGACAGACAGAGAGAGAGAGACAGACAGAGA